CAAAGCAAGAGATATAAGGAGGTTATTCAGGTAAGAGAAAACAGAAATGGTTCATAAGTGTATGAAAATATACACAGCTTACTAGCAAATCTGTCACTGGCAAATTAAAACAAAGATACAATGGTCGCAGCAGACTTGCAAAAATTTTAAAATGGTTTTTAATTGTGTTGGTGGGGCTCGAGGAGACAGTTCCTCTCACACAAAACCAATAAGGTTATAAAATGGCACAACTATTAACTAAAATTTAGGAAATGCACAGCCTTCAATCAGCAACTGTACTTTGAACAACTTCTCTCAGAAAACCCCTGATCCATGTACCCAGAGAGGGATACACAAGGCTGACTGTTACCCTCCAGCAGAAGATTGCTTTGTGTAGCCCAAAATTATAAGTGCACAAACACCAGCAGTCCATGAATGAGAAAATGTTATTGTTACATAAAACTCATTTAACATTAAAAAAATCTATTCCATGGGAGAATTTACTAAACCATATTGAACTTCTTGGATATGATAGAGCAATATAAAAGAATAAGATGGGCAATCATAATGTAAGTGCAGTATGGAGAACATAGCCAATGGTTCTGTAACATCTTTCTATGCTGACAGATGGTAACTGCACTAGTTGGGGTGAGGATTTAATAATGTGGGTAACTGTTGAACCACTGTATTGTACACTTGAAACCAATATATTGTTTATCAACTATACTTCAATAAAAAAACAAAAGAATGAGACATACATACATGTACTTACATGAAAAGTTCTAAAGTAAAAAGCAGGTTTGTGAAATAGTGAAAGTCATAGAATGTTATCTAAGATACAAGTAGATATAAACAAAACAAAATTAAACATTTTCATAGTTATACATGCACAAGCTTATTAAAAAGAGACCTGGAAAGTTCCGTGAAGCTGTTACCGGTAGCAGACTCTGAAGAGAGTACTCTTACTGGGGTGAAAGGTGGGGAGGGGTAAGGACATTATTCCACCTTACTCTGTTATGCAAAGAATATACTTATATATTATCCACAAAACTAAACATAAATCTGTTTAAAAAAAAAAAGAGCAAGTAATCATTTAAAATGTGTATTTCTCCTCCTATTCCTTTTCACCTCTCCCCGAAGCTCCTGTTTCAAGATACAAGGAAGAATTTACTGAACTATACTGAACTTCTCGGATACGAACTAGCGGTGACTAGTTTTATTTTTACACCAACCTTGGCACACAAGCAGGGCATCGAGTTGCAAAGCAAAGGCCTACTTTGTTTCATATTCTAGCAGGATAGGATTTTTATAGTCTTCTTCACATAATATACACTAAGATAAGAAACAACACCATGCTTAAAATAGTTATATTCAGAAACTCCCTTTTGCTAATTAGAATCAGTAAAATTTACAGAGCCAACCATGAAGAGGAAAGAACAATTAAAATAAGTCTACAGCCAGCACAAAGTAAGATTTATCCCTTAATATGATGTTCATATTTATCTGCTTCCACCAACACCAAATATTCTTTCAATGTCTCACCAAGGCACAAATCTGCTACCTAAAAATTACTTGGTAGCTCAGATTTTTAATTCCTACATCTATCATCTGCACCACCTATCATTTCTGTGGTGACAGATTCAAGGACTGGTTAGGGAAGGAAACATGTCACTGTTTACACAGGGTGAAAGTGGTGGCTCTGGTCAGCGGTACAATGTGGCCACGACAACAGAGAGGAAGGACATGGGTAACACATTATGCAAAATGTGCTATAAAAAGGAAGATCTTGTGCCTTGGGGAAACACTGAAAGAGTATCTGGGGTTGGAAGAAGCAGATAAATATGAACATCATCTTAAGCGATGTCTTCTTTTGCACCAGTTGTGCACTTATTTTAATCTTTCTTTCCTCTCTCTTGTAACACTACTCTTTACCAAGAACTTCTTACAGACACTCAGCTTGCCTCTAAGCAGATTGCTCTGGTACAGGCTTTATGGACAAAGGAAAACTATGTTGAGAAGCCCAAAGAAGAAGACAGGCATATAACAATAAATACCAACAATGCAGGGGGGCCATCAGGAGAGAAATTGGGGACCAACAGAGGGGAGGCTTAGAACCTCACCGCCCCCTGTTTTGAGAGAAATCTTCTGCATCTGTGGAGGTTTTGTTGCCCTTGTCTAGCTTGGATTAATACTTAGTCTATAGGCACAGACCTGATCATCTACATTTGCCCTCTTACAGCACTAAATTATGTTTTCTACCTTTATCTTGCATCTACCTAGCACTTCAGCATTTTATTAAAAATAATAATAATAATAATAATAATAATAAGGGAGAAATGTGGGATTCACATATAAATCATGTATAAAAATCAAACGAATAATCATAGCTGACTTGATTGTTTATAGTTCATGATGCGTGATCAAAACCGTAAGTTTCTGTGATATGACTGCCCTTGCACTGTTCACCATGTAAGAACTTATTCACTATGTAAGACCTTGTTCAACATGTAAGAACTTGTTTGTTGTGCTTCAGAAGATTGGAGACTGTTGAGATATAGGCTTGGGGTTGATTAATGACTGTGTATTGAGTCTCCTATACAGAATTTTATTGTTGTTAACAACCATTTGATCAATAAATATGAGAGATGCCCCCCCCCAAAAAAAATACCAATGTAAAGGTCCCACACCAGTGGAAAACACAGTGTGTAAAATCAAGGGATAAACTTCAAAGTATCATCTTTTTCTCTGATGCACGATCTCTGTAATACATGTAATAGATTCACATCACTGAGAGTAACTGTCAGAAAAAAAAAAAATTTCAGGCAGGTGGGCCTCTAAGTAGCATCATGATTGCACCATTCACCAGGTGTCTTCAAATGATCTTAGGCAAAAACGTGGACTAAAAGTGTGGCATGCCAGCCATCTCACCATTTCTACATTTACTCTATTTTATCACTTATGGAAGGTCATCTCCTGGAAATGGATTTGTCACTCCTACTGTTTCCAGAATGGGGCTTAAAGCCGGAAGAAAAGATCAACCTTGGAAGCATGGAAAGTTTAATGTTTTTTCTTTTTTCTTAAATCCTCTCATCTTTTGGATACTGATATACGATCACTGACTCAAAAATAAACCTCCAAAATCTGATATGACTGAGGTATTTAAAAAGTGAAAAATGAAATTTACTATCTTTTGGCTAGTTCTAGACAAAAGTTCTAGCCATTTCTATCTGTGAAAAGTAATGAAGAGGTCAAAGGAATTGCTACCACATTATTTGTTTCAATTGGTCATAAGCAACATTACAACCAGAAGAAAATGGTTGGTATATAACTTGAAAGAATTCTTCCTACATTTGAAAGTAAGCATGAGACAAAATACTGTTTCACAGAACAATAGAGGTACATCAAAGAGCTGCGTTCCTAAACCCTTTCTCTTTCTTAAACAAAGAAATATTTATGACTGGTCTTAGAAGAGAGCCTAACTGAGTTGCCATGAATTATTTAAAAACCCCAAAATACCTTCTGTTACTTTTATAGAAGCTTGATTTACAAGTTGAAAAATTAAACTGACAGTTTAGTCCCATGTACAAATACCCAACCTTTAAAAATGCTCTAGGCATATTATAAATATATCTTTCATGAATATAGCTTCAATAGCTCTAAAAATAGCCTTTAGGAGAAAAAAAGAACTCTTCAAAGCCATTGTTTTACACATAACAGCAGGAAACCAAACAGAATGTCAAAGCCAAAATGATTAACACGGCCAGTAATAAACATGAACATGAAGTATGAAATCTAACTCAAATACATTTTTGACATGAGTTTAGGGTCTATGGTTTAGCACCACATCTGTGGCCCAAGATGATTCCAGGGCACTCATACTCAGAAAGTAGCTCCAGAGCCAGGAGGCTAAAATTTGCCTTTTGAATAATGTGTAAATAGGCCCATTTAGGATTTGCCCTGGGAGCCAGATATTACTTCTTACCACCCTTAGAGTTTCCCGCAGGCTCTACCCTGGCCCCAAATGCACAGGGCGAGCGCCATACCACTCCTCACAGGGGAAACAAACCAAGATTGCCCAAAGGCAAAAGGCCAGGCTGACAAACTGTAGGAACCCTGGATATAGGGACCTGACACAGGCGATGGGAAAAGGCTAAGAGCACCTCGCAGTTTGGTGTCAGGTATGTTATTGGTTTCAACATGTATTTAGCACTCTCGACAAAGCCTATCTTATCCCATCTCTCCAAATATCAGAACTTAATAGGGCCAAAAAATTATGTGTTCTGTGGCTTTGCAGGTTTAAGTACAGAACTATGGCATTGTCTCTTGAAATAATAACCACTTTCCATGAATAGTCTTGTCTAAATGCCCATTAAACTCCAAATAAATCTTATGAACTGCAGACATTCTACTTTTTAATAATTCAATGGAGAATTATCTCAATTGGTTCCATAATAAATGAGATCCTAAATTCATGATATGGTAGGCAGAGAGCTAATAAGGGAAGGAATTCCTGAAAAATTGAAGGTATAAGCTAAAGGGATATTATTCTTGATTTTCTAATGTGAATTAATGATCAAGGCCAAATTCCTGATGAGGCTGGGAGAACCATTAATAAGCAACAAAGAGGAGGAGGAAGATGAAGGGAAAGCCAAAGTTACAGGCATTAGGGTCAAAAGTAATTTTCTATTATTTTTCCTCATTCTTTACAGGGAGAGTCAGAGTGGGGCTTAAATATGTAATACCAGTTAATTTTCTTCTACTACAAATTTAACCCACATTTCCATGTTCTTAAAAATACCAACTGTTCTAGGATTTAGCACATCTAATATTTTAGACTGGAGCCCTTGGTAAATCCTAAGACATACCTACCTTAGACATTCTTTTTAAGTAGAATCTTTAAATAAATTACTAGAGATCGTCCAGTATATCCAGAAATGAATATACTTATGTAGGTATGATAAATACTTTGCTAATCAACAACCAACTGTACAATTGTAAGAAAGACATCTCTTACTTCTTACCTTGTTTTGATCTGTCCAGTAAAAGAAAAATCCCTGAGGATCAGTCCTCAAAATGATTGGAGTGACAATAGCAGAGTCCTAGAAATGTAAGAAAAAAGCATGTATCAACTTACACCACTGTCAAAAGTCCTACTCAGTCGGGGGTTACTCAACAAAAGTAATAATTGTTTAAAAGTTTCTCCAAGGTCATTGATTATTAATATTTTTTTCAATTACACATGGCATCTTTAACTTCATAGCATTATTAATTATACAACTTAAGTATTTTACTAATAAATAGAATATATGTGCATTACTTTTAAAGGAAAAGGTCAATGATACATAGATTCATTAAGACAAGTTTTTAAAGGGATTGACATGTTCTCTATTAAAAAGCTGTATCTAGTTCTCCACATAATTTTAATACTAAACATCATTACATATTTTATATGATTACAGTTGATGAAAACCCATGCTTGAGGATAATATCTGAAATTACATTTACTCTATAAAATGATTTTTAATTGTACCAAAGCAGGTAAACATAGCATTTGGGCATTGCTGTTTCCAAGGCAACAGTAAATAAGGCCATCGTCTACATATTCAGAAAGATATACACAAAATGGTTGCAAATTTAAATTTCACATGATAAAATAAACCATCATAGATAGTCTTCTGAGTGTAAAGCTTGCATATTACAAAGCAAAGACAGCATGCACTGTAATTATAATATTAAACATTTCTAAAATATGTATTCTTTTCTTCTGGCAGTTTGCAGAAAGGCATATACCATCTGCACAAGAAAACACATGTCACTGGAATACTTGTAATGAAAATGAGAACTTGCAGAGATAATTTTGGCATTTGGATTGTTTTCTCGAGGGTAAAGCAGATCGATGGTTTTATCCCACATGGTAATTCTCACTGCAATGCTGAGTGTGAAGGCCATCGGGGATACCTGGTCCCTCTCAGTGCCTTATTTTATACAACCACAACTGAAAAAAAAAATTAGATGATAATAATACCTATTTCTGAGGGGTTCTGTGAGAATGAAATAGGATAATTGGGGTAAAGCATTTGGACCAATGCTTGGCTCATAAAAATGGTTATTTTAGTGATTACATTTAAAAACTGATTCATTAAAATAATAAATGAGTTTGTCACAGCTTTCTTTTTGTACTGCGACAAATATATACAAAACATTAAATTTACCATTTTTAAGTGTCAATTTCAGTGGCATGAAGTACATTCACATTGTACTTTTAAAGGAAAAGGCCAATGATACATAGATTCAGTAAGACAAGTTTTTAAAGGTATTGACATCACCACCATCTAGAACTTTTTCATCTTCCCAAACTGAAATTCCACACTCATTTAAACACTAACTTTTCACTTCTCCTCCCCACTGGCAACCACCATTCTTCTTTCTGTCTCTGATTTTTATTATTCTTGGTACCTCATATAAATGCAATCATGTAATATTCTTTTGCAACAGGCTTATTGTGTGACTGGTCTAAAGTGTTAAAGTTTCATCCACGTTGTAGCATGTGTCAGAATTTCCTTCTTTTTAAGGCTGAATAATATTCCATTGTGTATATATACTACAATTTGTTTATCCATTAATTCGTCAGAGGGCATTCAGGTTGTTTCCACCTTTTGGCTATTGTGAATAATGCTGCTATGAACACAAGTTTACAAAAATATTCGTTTGGGTCTCTGCTCCAACTCTTTTATACTAAGAAGTAAATAGCTGGATCATATGATTATTTTACATTTACTTTTTTGAGGCCCTGCTATTCTGTTTTATCCTGATAGTCTTAAGACTCATTCTTAACATGCAGTTTGAAAAATATATTTTACAAGGATTATGTTATTGCACAGAACTTCAGCTGGAATTTTAAAATCTCAAAATTACTTATAAATGGGAAAACAAAGACATTTGGAAACAAATTTGATATTATAATGAAAGTAGATATTTTAAAAATATTTTTAAGCTTCTAATAATGCATGCAAAAAAGACTTGGATTTTTATTTCCAATAAATCATAGCACTATTTTCAGTTCTGTTTCATCACCTAATCATTTAGAATTAGGCAACGGAACAGTTTACAGCCTGCACACAGCACCTGCTCCCACTTCCAGAAATGTGGAATTAACCTACAGGGGTAACTTATCCTTCTGAGGTCAGTTCCTCTTCTTATCAGAATGTCTGAAAAGAGCATCTGATAAGATTCTAATCAAAATCTTGGTGACAATTCACTGCAAAGATCCCAGAGAGTCAAATATTTAAAGTCAGCCACGTACAACTGCTCAACTGTGTATTTTGGAACACTGAGCCAGGCTAACTCTTTTGCTTCAGACACTGCTATTTCTAGCTTATTCCTTCTCCTTCAAAATTAAAGCTCCTTTGTTCCATATTTCCTTGGCCCGCCTCTTCTGGCCAAAGGTCCTCTGTTAAATGGTCATTTATCTCAGCTCCCTGCCTGCTTCCTCCATATCACCTCTAGCGTTCCAATATCAGCTAGAACTTGGCATTCTTGCCATGCAAGGCACGATTTGACCCAGAAATACATAAATATCCATTTTCAATTCCACCTGCTTTTTCCCCACCTCCCACATAGCTGCAAGTGTCCGTATTCTGTTCACGCCAAAGTAGCTACTCAACCCAGAGTCTCAAGTATTCTTCATTGTCAGAACATATGCTCTGGTTTGAAGTATAGGATCGTCCTTCATTTCCAAGACAACTGCAAATGGCTTATAAGTCCTGTAGCATTTTACTGCAGAATTGTGGAGACAGCTATTAGACAGTCTATTTTTTATTCTCTCCATCCATACCTACATGGTGTGTATTCCATAAGGTAGTAGTTCTCAAACCTTTGTGTGCATCAGATTTACCGGGAGGACTTGTTCAAACACAGATTGCTGGGCCTTTCCCGCAGAGTTTCTAACTTAAAAGGTCTTGGATAGAATCCGAGAATCTGCATTTTTAAAAAACTCACAGTACTTCTGGGTCCAGAGACCACATTTTGAGATCCACTAACATAGGCCTACAATGGGACTTTGGGTCAGAAATACAATGATATAAAGGCTCAAGGAGTGTGAGCTTAAAATGTAGACAAACCTTGTCTTGGAAGTACAAACTGCCTCTAAGAATTCAACTTCCATTTGCTTATTTAAACTTACTTGGTGTTTTTTGTGATAGACATCAACCTTAAAAAACAGAACACTAATAAACTTACCTGTCTTAAGTTAGTCTTAGTGGATGACTATGTACATTTCCACTTCTCTTTATTTGAAAGAAATCATTTTATTCTCATCCTTATCTCATCAATAGTAAGAACTAATCTAATGATACAGGAAGCTGCTATTTATATATGGCATCAATGTTAGAAAACCCTATAACTCTTTATCACAATGACTTCTCACCAATGTGCTACATAGATAATGTATCCTAATATGATGTTACATGACAATTACATCTAGATAAAAAGAGACGAAACGTGAGAATAAATGGCTATTAAATAATACCATATTCTAAAGAAATGGGAGGAAATGACAAAGGCACTCATAGTCCAAACTCCCTCCTAATACCAGAATATTCTCTACAAAAACCCTTGACAGAATAACAATGGGCACATCTTGAACACTGGTTCTGAGCCAAGCACTGCAATATGAACTTTAAATGGATTTTCTCCTTTAATGCCTCTAAAAATATAAAGTTAATGTTTTTCTTTAATGCTATTAGTATTCCCATTTTATAGATACATAGAATAAGGCTTGAGTTAAATAAGGCTTGAGTTAAATAAGGCTTGAGTTCCTTGCCCAAGGAACCCATCTAAACTATTAAGGGAAGCACTGGAAACAATGTTCAAGTACACAGTGAACAGCAGTGCTGCTCAACGTTTTTTAATTATTGTCCTGCTAATAAGGAGCTTTTTTAGACATTTATTTTCCTAATGAATCTTCATAAAATTTTAACTTCACATATATGCTGAACACCTACTTATATGCTTTACGTATATCTGTGCTTTATACAAAGTAAAAGTGAGAGATTGAGATTTTTTTTTGTCCTTCAAGAACCTACTTTCATTTCTTTGAGGGGATCTGGGCCCAGTTAAGAATGCATGTCTTGTATCTGCTCTAATACAGATTCACTCACCACCTGTGGCTACTGAACACTTGGAATGTGCCTAGTTTGATGGAGATGTACTGTAAGATTTGAAAGACTAAGAATGAAAACAAGAATATAAAATAGTTCACCAACAATATTTGTTATCGACCATATTTTGAGATCAATATATTCGGTTAAACAAACTGCAGTGTTAGAATTAATTCCACCTGTTTTTCTTTCTGCTTGTTTTAATGTGGCTACTAGACAATTTTAATTTCCTACATGGCTCACATTACATTTCTACTGGGCAGTGCAGCTCTAAACCTTTATGGAGAAATAAGTTTCCTCCTTAACAGGAAAATGTTTTTCACAAAGCAAACTTGGTCAGAGGATTCTAGTTAGAAAGTCCTAGGGTTTTTTCCATATATGCAGCTACCATCTAGTTTTAACATCTAAGTAGTACAAAATAAATGAAGTTCCTTCTCTAAGTACCAATTCTTCAAATATCCGAATAGAGTCATCACATTGCCATGCTCCAAGCTACAGTTCACAACACTGAGATACGTTATAGGCTGAATTGTGTCCCCACAAAAATGCACGTGTTGAAGTCCTAACCCTAGTAGCTCAAATTAACAATCACCTTCTTTGGAGACAGTCTGTACAGAGCTGATTACGATAAAAGATTATCCAAACGGTGGGCCCTAGTCCAATAGGACTGGTGTCCTTATAAAAAGAGGCCATTTGGTCACAGACACATACAGAGGGAAGGTGATGTGACTGCACAGGGAGAAATCAGCCCTGTACAAGCCACAGAGAGATTCTGGAGCAGATCCTTCCCTCATGGCCCTCAGGAGGAACCAACTCTGCCAACACTAAACCCCAGGGCTCCCATTTAGCCTCCAAACTGTGAGAAAATTAATTCCTGTTGTTTAAGCCACCCAGTCTGTGGTGCTTGGTTATGGTATGCATGGAAGCCCTGGAAAGCGAAT